TTTGAAGGGATCAAAATACTTCAGAAAGGTTTTAACACTCATGAAGAAAGATTGACAGAAGAAGCACTGTATATATGGGCGCATAAGAATAGCCTAAACAGAAAGGATGATATTCAGCTAGCAACTACTTGGCAAATATTCCTTAACAAGTAATTGCAGCCTTTCTTCCTTTATTCAACCTGTTTATTTCAAATGAATCGTTATTTTCAGCATTACAATTATGTACTAGATTAATCCCTTTTTAATTGCGATTCAATGATTCAGAAACAAAAATGAACAATATTTGAGCGAACAATTGTTTTCAATAAATTCATCATCAGGCTCTACACTTATATGAGTTCCTGAAGTATAGTGCGAAACTCACAGAAGCGAAAACCAATCTTGATTTTATCCGTAATTGCACTGTTACACACCGATATCCGAAAGCCTATTGCAAATCCTTACGACGATGTAAAATTAAACCTAATATCAAATCACTGAAAAGATATGCGCGTAGTCAAATTGAATCTCTTCAAACATATACTGTTGAGTTAGAAAGGAATATTGCACAGAGATTATATGCCGTAGAAGATCTTCCACAAAACTTAAAGGATTCATATATGACTAATGTCCTAGAAGTACAAAAAACGAGGGAAAACAAAAAGAGAATCGACCTAATCAAAGGACTAAACAACCAGATATTTAAACCGGATTTTCCAGACGACTGTAAGCGGTATGTTTTTAACCTTTCCTCCGTTAATCTCGATAGGACTCAACTAGAGGTTTTATCATTACGTCCTAAGTTTTGTGATAGTCGTAGACATATAGATCATCTGAAGACTGATGTCCAGTTTGAAAATCTATTTACCCATACACAAGACCTAAAACCCACGACAAAAGTAGAACATGAAAGATTCAAAACCACACTGGTTGACTGCTGTAACCAATTTAAAATCAACAAGCATTACACAAATAGTATATTGACTGATAAACATCGCGAAGCTATCTGGAAACTAAAATTGAATGAACACATTCTTATCACTAAACCTGATAAAGGATCCGGCACCGTAATTCTAAACAAAACAGATTACTTAGATAAGATGAATACCCTACTGAGTGATCAAACTAAATTCCAAAAGACCTCAAAGAAAAGACTGAACATCAACTAACTGCGGCATTAAAATTTTTAAAACAATATCAATGCATCTCTGAGCATACCTATAATGAAATGAAGCCTTCTGGAACATATACCCCTCGACTCTATGGCCTACCTAAGATTCACAAACCTGAGGTTCCTTTACGCCCAATTCTGGACATGTCAAACTCACCATACCATTCAACAGCAAAATGGTTAGTGAAATTATTGGATCCATTACACCAAGAACTGGTTAAACACAGTGTTAAATACGTGTTTGAATTTGGGGATTCAATAAAAAATAGGAATATGAATGGTAAAACCATGCTATCACTAGACATATCATCCTTGTTCACTGACATCCCCTTGATTGAAACTATCGATTACATATGTGAACAAGTGCTAGAAAAGAAAATAGGGATACCGATTCCAATAAATGAAATGAAAGAACTCCTGTTGAAATGTACTATGAATATCTACTTTAAGTTTAACAATGAATTTTACAGACAAGTAGATGGAGTAGCAATGGGATCACCACTAAGCCCGATCCTTGCTGACATTTTTCTGGCCAAACTGGAAAATGGACCGTTAAAAGACACCCTAAGTAAGCTTGACTACTGCTGTCGATACATAGATGACACACTAATCGTATGCGACTAAATGGTTGACAAACAGGAGATGTTGGACCTTCTCAATAACGTCCACCCAGCTATTCAATTCACCAGCGAAGAAGAGAAAGACAATAGTATAGCTTTCCTTGACGTCCTACTTTCTAGAAGGACAGATGGTTCCATCAAGCGAAATATATTTAGAAAGAATACATGGGCGGGTCAATATACCCATTTCCAAAGCTTCACTCCTCTTCAGTATAAAATAAATTTGGTTAAATGTCTCAGCCACAGAATCAAGCTATTATGTTCTGAGGACAGTGTTGATAGTGAAATAGATATACTAAAAAATAAATTGTGAAATAATGGCTACCCAGATAAGTTCGTTAAAAAATACCTAGTAGAAAATACTGTTAAAAAAGGAAGAAATTGTGACACAGTGAGTAAATTGATCTTGTATATGAAACTGGACATCAAAGGTGACATAGCGCGTGATATTCTAACACGCCGACTGAAAAGATCGGTTGAAAGGACGTTTTACACCGCCAAGCTACACATCACTTTCTCAACTAAACCAGTACTTACACAATTAATCAAGGTTAAGTTACCGAAGATGGGCCCTTCCATGTGTGTATACCAATTCAACTGCTCCTGTGGAGCTAGTTACATAGGCCGTACTCAGAGGGCTTTATCCTTGCGTATTCGTGAACATGTACCAGCATGGTTGGGAAAAGGAGTCACTAAATCCATTAACAGCGCCATCCTTTCTCACTTGGTAGACAGTGAACGTCATATCAAAATAGAGGAAGCCTTCTCTGTTTTATATCAAGTTCCGAAAACTCTACCTTAAAGAGCTAGATTACGATTACTTTACACAGCCGAAGCCATCTGGATCAATACCAAAAAACCAAACTTATGCATCCAGAAAAGGTTTATCCAGCCACTATGTTTACCTTGGCCTACGACTGGATCACCGGATTCCTAAACTAAATATTATAAACCTCCCCCCTTTTTTCTTTTCTCCTTTTTTTGTTGTTAATCACCTCTATCCTAATCTTCACATCCATCATTCTTAATTCCTTTATCGTAATTACCTTGATAACACCCCCTGTTATTACATATTATATTCACACAACAATATTATTATTATTACTATTACTAGTGCGGGTTCGTGGATGCGCACTGCTGAGGAGTCCCATAATAGGACGAAACGGCCGTCCAGTGTTTCCAGGTTTTCCATGGTGGTCTAGCTTCAATTGACTCACGCTTTAAACTATTACTATTTATTATTATTATCTCAATTGACAAGATGAAATTCTTCTATTATGCACTTTATTCACACGATTTTTTTGCATTTTCATTTTTCCTAAATTACTATTATATCGATTGTGACTAGACACTTGAGTACAAATTACTTTGGACCTTTAATAAAGTGAAAATTCCCATTTTGTCATTTGATAAATAAAAAGGAACGAATTGAGAGAAGAAATTTCTTTTCAATTAATTTTTCATCATGGCTATACACTATGATTTACAAGAATTAAATAACACTCATGGAGTAGATACGTTACGTAATGATTATATAATGACATCGATTATAAACTAACATTAATTGGAAGAGAAGGATTAATACTAATCAAAGTTATTGTACGAAAATCAAGCTGTTGCTACGTTGCATAATATATAAAACAGAGAAGAAAGAACTAACAAAATATTTTGATGAATGGTCAGTAATATAGTAGTCATGTAAGAATCAAGAGACAAATAAAGAGAATAAGTAAAATACAAAAATTGAAGGAATAAGATAAATGTTTACCGAAATTCTGCTACAAACTCCGCTATACCGATGGCCAAGGTAGCGAGAGTGGTTGTGCAAACTTCTTTTGGATACAAAGGTTCGGTTTGTGAATATGAATTGCGATGGCTCCAGCTATGTGCAATAGACGAGCTCGTAAACCAAGTGTCAAATTTGATGGAATATGGTAGATAACTTTAAAAGCTTTATTCAGTTCAACCTGATGACCTGTGTCCACCAAGTGAGTGAAAATAGAATTCTTAATCACCTTTACCTGTCCTTTGCTCAACCACAACGGATGGTGTCCTTTTATTCGTTGACGAACTTGCCGAATTGTACGCCCCATATAACTGGCTCCACAGGAGCAGTTGAATTGGTAAATACACATAGATGTGGCGAATTCAGGCAATCTGTCTTTATTAACAGTTCTTATTGTGGGGCGGTTGTAGAAGACGGTACTCAGTCGGGCTGCATTAAATGTTTTCTGTACTGCCCTTCTTAACCTCTGTGTCAGAATTTCTTCCGTAGCATCATTTAAGAATTGTCACTTTAAGAACAATACCTTCTTCGGAACGATAGGTACCCTTGTCCTTCTTTTCGTCTCCATCATGTGTTTGTCGATGAATTTCATTGGGTACCCATTCCTACTAAGCAAGTTTCGAATATTAACCAATTCATCTAAAATAATGTCATCAGAGCAAATCATTCTAGCACGATGAGTCAGGATCTTCATTAAGTTTCTTTTGTATTTCATTGATACTGCACTATAGATATAAGTGTACTATCCAATTGTAGATTTTCTATGTAACCCTCTTTTTAATGTTCCATCTACTCTACTTGTTACCTTTATTAAATGAACTTTCTAATTAACAAATAACACAATTTTAAAGTATATATATGTCGTAACAGATGAAAACGTTCACCATTTTTTTAACATATAACCTTATCAAATTCATTAATACATGCCTCATTTTTGGCCTTTGTAAAAAAAATCATGATAATTATGAACTTATAACTGTAGATCCTGATGATGAAGATATTGAAGAAGCAATTGTTCGCTCAAATATTGTTCATTTTTCAATTATCTATGGAAATCTTTAAACTGTTAAAATTCAAAAACAACAACTTTGAAACATTCAATTTGTACTTTTATTTTTACTTTATATAGAAACATATCAAGACCGGATATCATTCATTAATAACTCATTCTTACACTTATACATATATTTCTCTATCACAGATTAATTTTAATAAGATACTCAATGAATAATGTAAGAAATATCAGTTGAATTGAATCATTTTAATGAAGCTGATATTCATCATTTATCAAACCAGAAACTATGAATGCTAAAATAGTTATTCAACTGATTGGTCAATCAGATAAGTCAGTTCTTATTGAATAATTATGACTAATAAAATTACTACCAAATTACTTACTGTACATACAACAGTATTTAAACTGAACTACTCAATTCAACAAGTTAATGTGTGCAATTCTTAATTAACTCACTCGTAAATCTAGGTTAAACTGGTGAATTGTGAACGACATTCAAGTGTCACAATAATTATCATTTATTCAAGCTACAACGATAAATAAAATGAAATGGATTAGTAAAATCGCTTACGGAACGGGTCAAATGCTTAAAGATCTTGTTGTGGGATTTATATTTGTATTCTACATAATATTCTATGAAGGATGTATCAGTCTGAGCAGTTCACAAGTTGGGGCATTATTATTGTGTGGTCAGATTGTCAATGGATTAGCCACACCATTGATTGGTTATTTATCAGATCGTTCACTCGGTTCAACTGAAAAATCGACAGCTGATCACCAGTCGATAACATGTGAAGATGAAAGTGTAAAGAAGGATAAGAGGTTGTTGAATCGAATGAAACGGCAGTTGAGACTTGGACCGAGAAAGTCATGGCATTTAGCTGGATGTTTATTGTTAGTTATTGCCTTTCCATTGATGTTTGGACAACCGGAATATTTAGTTAGGCTTCCAGTTTGGGCGAAGTTATTGATCAATGGCATGTTTATGATTTGTATTCAGGTATGTCGTATTGTATGAATGAATGTTTGTGGTTGTAATGTGTGATTCTTGGAATCACTCGAAAAAAATATTAGGTAATAAAATTAGTTGATGGTGTGAATATTTTAGTACGATGTGTTTTATGTAAATCTGTGTAGATGTGTAGACATTGGAATAAATATCAAGAAAGCTTTACTATTTCAGTATTCTTCAATAACACGTTTGATTCCTTAGCAATTTAAATTTTCAATTACTTAGGATTTCCATGCCTTCTTTGGCAGCTACTATTATTATAGTCACTTAACTGCTGTTTTGTGATACTTACTATCATTTTGTCTACCGTAATCACAACGGTTTTCACAGGTTTGTTGCACGCGATTACATCACGGCTTCTAACTTTTATGATCATCAATTCATCAAATAATCAAAATAGTATGAATGGTCATTTATTCACTATGGAACTAAATTACGTAATGTATGTTGTCCACGAAATTAGAATGATAAAACATTTATTAAATTGATTTCTTTATGTAATGCAGTACATATATGGGAGATATATTCATGGTATCCTAATAAGTAGTAAATTGTATTATAGTGAACGAATATATTTGAATACGAAAATACAGAATATCATAGGAAAATCTGAGAACCATACCATAAATAATTCATCTGCAAAATATTAATCAGTCGTCTCAGACTTCATGGTTCCTGTGTTTCCACACCAATCATCCTCTGTTCTCGTTCTCTCTTCTTCGATTTTCTTAACTGTCTGCCTCCAGGCATTCCACATTCGACTGATAATACATACTACTTATAACTGTCGACATCACTAGCACACAACATACAATCACCATCCTTCTAGGATCCATTGTCATCTGAAACAACATAGGTTACAAATTATCGTGTATCCACTTGCGGTCATCTTCAAGATACATTTCTCTCAGTTCCACTGGTTCTTGTGTTATTCGGAGTCGGATGAATTGGCTAAACACTGTTTATGTGTTGACGATAATTTATAATAGAACAACATTCAAACTAATCGATTCTCTCTCTTTGTCTACCCAACAATGTTTCAAAGGTTGGTTTTGCAGCTGTACAAATTCCTCACTTATCAATTATCAATGATTTGACAGATCAACATGATGAACGAGTATTACTTGCCTCATTACGATATTTCTTCAGTGGAATCGGCCACATAACTATGTTGCTTATAACATATTTATTTTTCATATCAAAAAAATCCAGTTTGTTAATTTTGAAATCAGTAAATGAAACTGACAACAATGCGAACAGCAGTCAACTATTCACGAAATCATTGCGAACAACTAACAATAATGTTCAAAGTGATAATCAGTCGACAAATGTTGGAAAACAGTCAGTTGTACATTCAGAATACAATACGACAATTCAAGATTTGCCTATATTTCGAAATGTTGCATTGATTCTTGTTGGGATTGGAGTATTATTCACAATAATCTTCCATTGTGGTGTTCGTGAAGGTAAACCGAAAGCACACCAATTTTTCACAATACAATCCTATGAAAGTAAGTCAAATATTATGTTGATTTAGATGGAATTTCCGAAATCCCGAATATGTATGAATATTGTTTGTTGATGTGTTCACGTGTTTCAACAAATGGAGATGATCCCGATGAAAGCATTTTTAGAGAGATCTCTGTACTTATTGTACAAACGAGAATTTCGGTGCAACCGATTTGATCTATAAAAACTAAACATTTGATCAGTCTAGACTCGGGATCACTACTAACTTGCTAAACGTTCATTCGTTGTTCATTATTGCATACTGAATGATCAGTTTGAAGGACACAGTAATGATAAAAACACTGGAAAACTTACTTTCCACTTAACTGTTATTTTTGTCGATGTAGTAGGAATGAACTAAAATTGATCGCGAATCTCTGTCATTCATCATTTTCAAGTTTCATTGGTCAGTGTTATGACGAATGTACAGGTTGACATTAGATTAAGTAGCGAACTGAACTCAGTTAGATAATTGCCAAAATGTTAGTTATCATCAGACAGTTGTTTCATCGAAATTTGGGATTTCTCGTCATCGATTATTTACAACTCAGAGGCATCCAGATCATACTGCACAAAACCCACTGATCTGTGGTCCACTGGTGGTCCCTGGGTGGTAAGATTCACATTTCACTCTTGAGAAGGGAAAACGTTACCAGAAGCATCAAACTAAGACGAAATAGATGTATAGTACCTCCTAGAACTGACAGGTCTCAACAAATCGCATCTTCATGTTAGCATCTTCCTATCAGTTTCCTTCACACACCTTGTGAGCAAATTCATTCCCGAACCAAAGAAACCTGTGTAGATTGGCACTATGTAGTGTAGGAAAATAATCAAGGATAAAATATGATGCTTTCGTATCCAATAAACTCACATATACTCTGTCTATAATCTCTTTCATTACACAAATATGTACCCTTGATTATCACTGTACAACAAATCGGTTTATTCATTACAAAATTAATGTGTCGAATATTTTCTATTTTCGGCTAAATTTTTCACCGACATAATTTGATTTATTTACAGTAGTCCTTTTCTTAGTCTACTGACTGCAGCATTACAAGTAATATTTGGTACTGTGATTCAGTATCAGAGTATATTGACACTGATTGAAGTGGATACTTCTATCATATTTTGTATGTACTGTTGACTTTACAACATTCAAATCGGTTTACTGAACTGAATGAATTAGCTGAACACACATTGGTTGAAATTTACGAGTGGATTTTGATTTAGAAATCGGTATATCACAAACAATCTGAGATGATCGTTTTCACTATGTAATATAATACTAATTCGACCACAATAAGTAGGAAACCGATTTAAACTTTATGGAGGGTGGTTGAACATTCATTTAGTCCATTTGATCCACTTCTAGCTCCATACTTGCTCGTCGTAATCAACGTTTAAATTAAATAGCCTGCCAACATCCAACTAACGTTATTATAATCATGTGAAAATATGAGAATTGAGTTGGTGTAGTTGTTATTACTGTAACTATCCATAACACTGATTACCAGATAGTTTTCGAAATTCACTGATTTCTCCTAACGTAGGAGATCATCCGACTTTGATATACGTTTTTCACTGAGATTCAACTGCTTTTCTGTGAAATGTTGACTTCTTTTAATTGAGACAATCTAGTTGGGGTAATTGAAGTGTATGGGAGAAGTATGTGTTCAGCACAAACAACAAATCAGGAAACAAGTGGATATGTTTGAATTGTACAATTACTATGATTTTGTTACACAAACGTGTCGAATGATTTTGATGTTAACGATGATGATGATGATGATGATGATGTGTTTTCTGACAGTATTTCCAGATCTTTGCATGTTATACTACTGCTAAGAAGTGGTTTTCGTTCAATGGAAAATACAAAGACATCGGGCTCGTTTGTCTCTCCCGATCATCCATATCCTCAACTTACCAGTCCTTGCAAATAATCCACTCGCTCTCATTTTCACCGAGAATTTCTACGTTGGTCCTCGAGAAAGATCATAGTATGGTTTGAACACTATCGATCATGTTGATAGAAATGCTCACTTTTATTTAATTATCAGTAAATTTGTGGAGAATTATCCACATGATTGTAGGCGACTGAATGATGCTGTTCGATTAGACACACACAAGTCGCTTCAACTGCGATGTTTCTCCATTCTATCCTCTAAACAACAAATTGTTTGAGTTTACAGAACGTAGAATGTGTGGTGTTGTTAAATACAAACATTCCAAATAACATTGTCTGACATCTGTAGGTGACAGTCAGTCCACACAAACAAGTTGTAGGTATTGAATCAGATTCATGCACGCTATTTCTTGTAATCTACAATTAGTCAGAATTTGACACTTATTTCTTTCTGTTGTTCAAGAAACATCAAGTGAATTCCCAGAAGTGAATGGCACAAACAACAATAACGGGTTCAATAATGATAATTCTGTTGTGGTTTTTCAAATCAAATCTAGACGCAAACGGACCTACAGCCTTTCATCTACACTGCCTTGGTATGCTTGGTTTACACTACCAAGATTTTGGCTGAGCTGTTCTACATGCAGTATACTGCGACTTGGTGTAACTGTTTCTGTGGTAAGCAATAAAAAATTATTGTGCTTCATAGAGTTACGACGAGTGAAGATAATTTTCTATACAGAACCTCTTCTATATGATCATATTTAGGAAGTCTGTTTGAGGATTATAACTCAATGAGGGATTCATGATGGATGTATGCGTTTCCGAATTACAATTCCAAACATATACCAAATAAACGAAAAACTTATCGATGCACTCGACATTTTGGTATTCCGATAACTATGCATATACTACTACAGATTCGAGTTAATTGAAATTGTGAATATTTACACTGAGATAAGATAAACTTAACTAATACGTGCTTTTAATGACTAAATAATAAAAAAATGAATAAATAACTTATCATATGCTCATTAGTGCCTGGCTCCATCAGGAATTTCCTGTAGTTCTGGTGAGAAGCAGTGACCAGTGGATTTCAACCAGATCTGTTGTGAAATCGTATTTCACTGAAGACAATAGTGGATGCGTCGCTCAATTTCGTGGATTGGTTGAATTTAGACATTAACATCGTTGGATGCCGGTTCAGTACTCTATCGGTTAAGTGCTACCACGTGAAACTGGTAGGTTCTGGGTTCGAATCTCGTGAGGCGGAATCGCTGATGCGTGCTGTTGAGGAGTCGCACAATAGGAGGAAACAGCCGTCCAGTGCTTCCAGGTTTTCCATGCTGGTCTAGCTTCAATTGACTCATGATTTCAACTATATATACAGAATAATATTTGTCAGTAAATATTTTTTTGCTTTTGTATTTTCAGTTGTACAGTGGTCCATTTTTGTTGAATTCATTAAAAATGAATAAAAGTTCAATGGTTTCTGTTCAATTAGTTAATACAATTTCTTGTTTGATCACGTCAGTTGCTGTACAGAGAATCAATAAATTACTCGGGAATTATGTAAGTGGAAGTAATTGACGATTTCAACAATATTGAAATCAAGTTAAAAGTTTATTACTGAAAGATATTTCACTTTTTATTGAGCGCTGATTCATAACAGTTTGGTTGACTAAGTTTTAAACCTCATTCATGATTTATTTGCTATTTGAATACAGCTTGATCTGTCTATCTACAATCGGTAATGAATAAGCAACAGGTTGTTTCTACTATAAACAGTTGAAAGTTCTATTTAAATAGTTTCACCGCGTTTAGAATCATCTGAGTCTTAACAGATATAGGCAGAAATGAACAGTTATTGTAAGACCTGATGCGACTTCGATCGAGAAGAAACAATTCATGTCCAGAATTATAAGGACATCACTCCTGAATTTTATGGTGTTGACGAGATCTGATATGGGGCCTCACATGGTGTTAAACAGAACATATTGAGAAAAAATTTAGATAGCCTCCGAGTACATTTTCATTGGTCGGTGACAACAAATAGTCTGAATAGTACATCGACATCAAACCGAAGGAACTTAACGGGCCATATGTCTCATGTGACAATGACAAAGAAAACAACTTGACGAATCAAACAGATTACAGGTTCAGTCATGAGTGAATCAATAGAATTACAAATGTAACTTCTACAGGACCCGAACCTGTAACAAACACAATCAATGCCACAAACATTAACACTGAGACATTAGTATTCATTCAAACCACTCAAACATTACACATTATCGCATTCAAGTATTCTGAGTAGGATTTTAAATCTAGACCGTTAATTCATAACACTCTAAATGCTCAATTTCTCATCTTGCCAATGATTGACTTGACTTGAAGCAATATATTCTAGGAATGGCTTCACTAATATTCATACATGAATTTCGATAAGCGTTTTGAAGAACTCAGCACGTTCGTCTATCTTATAACATGATTACATGAAATATTCATAAAACTTATATCTCTTTCAGTGTGTACATGTTCCGCTAAAAATCGTACATGCTTTTTTAATTTTAGATTGGTTCAGTCGTCGGTGTTCTGTTTACCCTTGGATTATGTACAATAGCTTACTTTTTAAAATCAGCCGATGAAAACCTCATAGCAATCTATGTTTCTGCAGCCATTCTAGGCATTGGTAACACAATCAATAATGTTCGAGCAGTGGTTGTGATTGCAACATTGATCGGTGTAAATCAAGTACACACAGCAGCATTTGTTCATGGGATCGCATCATTGTTTGACAAAATCTTGACTGGTATCTTCATTCAATGCATACAACTCTGTGTACCTCAGTTAACTTATAGACATATAGAGGTGTATATTGTAGGCAGTTTGGCAGTATTCGGTGGTATTCTAACGACAATTGATCATTTCATTTACTCAGAGACTTTAGAAAGTACAAATGCACCTTGTCTTTCATGTTTTAGTCGAAGATCAACTTCATCATTGTCTTCGTCATCATCGAAATTTCAGGGTGACAAAGACATCGAGTCTAACATTCAAACATCCCATCACGGTGTTAACAATGATAAAGAAAATAACGATAACTGTGGATATTAATAAGCATATTTATGTACATAAACACAAACCAAAAATCTTTCATCATAAAAAAGTATTCTCTATTTTAAATTTCTCTATCAATATTCAATCCATCGGTTTATCACTGAATATTCATCTACTATTCCTTTCAAAGAAACATGTCTTAGCATTAAACCCGGCCAATTACCACATGACTTTTTCGTCAGTCGATATACGACTTATGCAATGCGGCAAGAACACTCGGTATTGGTTCCATCTGGAGAAAGTTAATTCGAAATCATTCATGTGCTTCTTTAGTTGCTGTACGCACTTGGTTACATCAGTCACAACACTCTTAACTGAAGCGAAAATTTCTCCGGCTAAACGTCAAGTAGTTGCGTACACCAACTCAGCTGGACAACACCCAATATCCCGTTCAATTGTTGCTCTTATACATAACATGACTAAGGGCAGCTTATTTGCCTAATCGCTGTTAACAAGGACGGTCGTTAGAGATGCCTGTAACTATCTGTGAAAGCGTCCAACTGTTATATCCTAGAGAAGACACGAGTACGGGTAATTTCCGGGACCTATTAATGGATGATTATTCTATATATATTCTTATTATATAACTATTCAGTGATTAGATTATGTATATTCGTATCCATTTTATTATAAGCTCAGTTTTGACCTATGGATTATTATTATACAATTTACTGTCCCTAAATTATATTTTCTTTTTACTGACTATTTTCTCCCACGTTCACAGCCACATTTGGCTTGATCCTGTACAAATATTATCTTCTATTTTATAGTGTGATGTGGTCTGTCTGTCTGGTATATAAACCGAGTATATTTGAAATAATTTATTCGTATAGCTATAGCTGAAATTGGTGTTCTGGACTCAATTTGGTGGGCTAGGCGGAAAAGGAACCAATAAGGACGCTAGACTACTCATATTGGTCGAACGTCATTGATTTGTCACAGTGTGGATATTACAAAAGTTGTGTTTCGATTGGTGGATACATCACGTGATAAAAAGCCGGACATAAAATCATTAGGAATTGGCATACGGCCGTCCTATTCTTTTATAAAGTCATAACAAATTGGTGACGGCCTTTTATAAAGTCACAACAACAACCATAACATAAAACATCGGATCATAAGATGTGGTGTGAATAAGTTCAATTACTAAGAGTTCTGTCACTTGTTGAAACATGCGACTTTCAAACTGAGCTCCTCTATCAGTTGTGATGATTGCCGGCACGCCATGGTAAAGAATACAATTTTCGACTAGGGCTTTGGTCATGGATTCGACTGAAGTCTCTGTAGGAAGTAATCTCCTACAGATGTAATTCTGAACCATTCTCTAGACTATCGGGTACAGAGTCCCAGCTTAGCCAAATTCAGAACAAGTAAGCTATTTGTCTTGATAAACTTTATCTGTTTCTGAAACGTAAATTAACACTGTTAGCATACAAAATAAAAATTACGGTCTATGAAACAGGGAAAAGGAGAGACATAAATGATACAGTGAACAGTAACTGGAGGATTGGAAAAGTGAGTCAACAAAGTGGATATTAGAAGTGGTTTTTGTGGATATTGTAGTATATTCTTCTTTTGGTCTAGCTCCAATTGACTCATGATTTCAACTATTAAAGAGAATATTGTTTTATAATGAACACAAAATTGTGATTGGTGAATAAACAAGGTATAGTCATACAAGATCAAAGAAAGTTAATAATCCATGTACATAGTAAAATTTATACCATCTAGCTTATGTCGAAAATGCATTCTCGACAAGTAAATAGCTAGTAATTCTCTTCCGAAAGTACTATATCTCGTTTGATTAGAATTCAATCTCTTCGAGAAAAATTAAAGCGGTTCCTACATACCATTTACTAACTGTTGTAAAACGACTCCTACCGCCACATTCGATGCATCGGTCATGATAGCTAATGACATTTTACACTTTCTTCTAGCTATCATACTTTCTTTGTTTAGTGCTTTATTGGAGTTTTCGAGTACCTATATCACCTCTCCTGATAGATGGAATGTCCGAGCATGTCCACGTAACGCGTTCGTCAATATTTGCATTATTGCCGCACAAAAATCGGAATAAACGATTTATAATAATTTATTAGCTTGAGAAATCGTCGTAACTTCTTCCGTGAGTCAGGTAACGGAAAACTATTCTATCACCCGATTGACTGACAGGCACGCGCGCTAGAGAGAAGACAAGAAAACTAAAACACTATGCGATTTATTCCCAATTCTGATCTGGTACTCGAGTTCAGATTAGTGTAAAAAGATACATGAATAAGTAAATGACTAACCCGATCACAACATGCAACAATTAGGAAAGTACAATTATGTACAAAACTGGTGGATTAAAATAGAAAATAGAGTACAAAAGATTACGTCGAAATTATAATAGCTTTGGAACAGAAAATGCTATGTCAGTGAACCATACATCAAACGAAAGCTTATGATCTGTCGAATAGACTAGGAACAAAAGTAAATGTGACTGCTTTACAAGCCTTGAATTAGACGAAATAATTACCTTAATTACTTACTGACATACTTACATCTGTTACTCCCAATGGAGTATAGGCCACCGACCAGCATTCTGCAAACCACTCTGTCCTGGGCATTGATTTCTATTTCGATCCAATCACTGTTCATTCTTCTTATGTCTATCTCCATTTCTCGGTGTAATGTGTTTTTTGGTCTTCCTTTTCTCCTTTGACTTTCAGAACTTCGGAGAGTCTTTCTGTTCCCTTTGTTTATATTGAGACCTACTGCTGCTGAGGCTACTGCAACACTGGTCGTCTTCTCCTGAATTTGTTGTTGCATGTGTGATAGGAGAGCCAGATCATCTGCGAAGTCTAAATCATCAAGCTGCATCCTACCTGTCCATTGTATCTCATGCTTCTCTCCACATGCTGACGTCTTCATGATCAAGTCGATCACCAGGTGAAAGAGAAAGGGTGAGAGTAAGCAACCTTGCCTAACACCAGTCTTTACCTCCAATGAGTCAGTGAGTTGTCCTCCACGAACCATTTTGCAGTTTAATCAATCATAGGAATTCCGGATAATATTGAGTATTTTCCAAAGTACGCCGTAGTGTCGAAGAAGCCTCCATAGTGTTGTCCTGCTCACACTATCAAATACCTTCTCATAGTCAATGAAGTTGATGTAGAGTGATGAATTCCATTCAATTGATTGTACCACAACGATCCGTTGAGTTGCGATTTGGTCTGATCACGATCGATCCTTGCGAAATCCAACCTGTTGATCTCGAAGTTAGGCGTTTACGGAGTCCTTCATTCTGTTTGACAATACTCTGTTGAAGACTTTTCTTGGTATTGAGAGAAGAGTGATGCCCCTGTAGTTATCACACTTGCTGAAATCGCCTCTCTTTCGTATTTTGATCAGAAGTCGTTTCTTCCAGTCTGTTGGTACTTGTTCTTCATCTCAAATCTTACTGGAGAAAATGTGGAGTATCTTGGCAGTTGCTGCTACATCTACTTTCAGTGCCTCTGTTGGAACATTGACTGGTCCCGCTGCTTCGCTGCTCCTGATTTGTCTGATGGTCATGCTGATCTCTTCAATTGTTGAGGGGCCAACATCGATTGCGAGGTCCGTGGGTGTCGCATCGAAGTTGGGTGAGTTCAGTGGAGCTGGTCGGTTCAAGAGTTCCTTAAAGTGTTCTAACAACCTGTTCCGTTGTTCTTCAATGTTGGTGATTACCTTGTCTTCCTTGCTTTTCACTGGTCGTTCTGGTCTACGGTAATTTCCAACGCGTTTCTTTGTTGTGTCGTACAGTTGTCTCATATTTCCTCCTCTTGCAGCCTTTTCCGCCGTCATTGCTAAATCCTCACTTGCTTGTTTACCTCTGTGTATTCGACTTGTGATTTGGCTTCTTCTCCTCTTGTTCGGCTGGAATTGATTGCTGCCATTTTTGTTCCTCCGTTCTTCAATCTGATCCAGTGTACCAATAGTGATACATTCCTTGTGGTGATGCTTCTTGTGGCCCCGACCCTCATGACATGTCGAAGTGACTGTGTCTTTTATCCATTTCCAGTTGCTCTCCATGGAGTAGATCATGAAAAGCATGGAACCTGTTGCTGAGGGCTATCTTGAATTTGTTGAGTTTGTCAGCATCCCGAACAAAAGCTGTAATAAACTTTTGTGATGTTGTCCGCCCCATTGTCCTTCATCAGGGCGTGAGACCGGCAGTATCTCCGAAAGGGCTAAAAGCGGAGTTGAATTGAATGAAATAACGTCTCCAACAATAGCATCCCTAGTTTGTCAAGGCTTCTGTGTCACACCCTTGTTTCACTGTTGACATCAACTAGATTCATGGAAACTGATTCCGTAAATATCCTGCTTATCATAGTGGTGTTTGTTATCCTTCATAAGTCGGTGATGTCGTGAATCGACTAGAAGGTTGAAGTTCCCATGGGAAATAATGTTTTTAGGGGCACTGACACGAGGTCCCAGCTACACAAAGCTCCTCGTTCGTAATTCAGGGACAAATTCTGTTTGCCATATGTCTTAGTAACCGATTAATTCGCCGCTTCCAGGTTTAGGGACATATTAATGCTTCTTATTTCATAGCTTACTGGAGGTACAACACTGATTTCCACTCCAGAATCGAATAAGATTCGCGCAAACGTCGTTTGGTCTTGTATGTAAAACAGGCGGCTGTTCCTAGGAGTTATTATCAATGACGCCGTCACCATGGACCATTGTGAAGATCGTCCACATGTTATATTAAATCTACAAAAATGTATACACTTACTAGCTCTATAGCCGAACATTTGACGATACCAACATGTCGATGGGGTTAGACGTCTTCTGCAAGATGATCGGTTTCTGACGTGCAAGCTATCTTACGACCATCTTCGTAACCTTTCATTCTGTGTTAATTCTCTCAGTCTGCTGCACAAAACATTCATCTCTTTCTCAAGCACGTTGATCCCATCGTCTACTGTCGTCCTGTGTAACTGAGGTCTTATTTGCTTAGTTCTTTCCTATATTTTACCGGCTAATTTCGCAATATTGTCTATGTTGGCATCAGTATCTCCGACAACTAGGTTCTGTTGTATATTCAATGGGAGTCGGCAATGCCACAGATGAGAAAACAGACTGTTGTCTACTCTCCTATCACCCACCAGACATTTCATATACTTTTTTACCTGTGCCAGAGTTCTGTCTCCATTATGGTCTTGATTAAGAAGCTGATCAACAGCTTGTCGGTCGGTTAAAAAGACAGTTTCAGTTACGGCATGTTTTAATACGTCGTATGGCCTCTCTCACCTTATCCGCAACTACATCTGGGAGGAGTGTGCTTGCATGAACGAATTCATATCTTTGTAAGTTGATGCGGTTGATCAGGAAATAATTTCCCAGTCTAATAAACCACAGTTGTGAGTCAGTAACTCTAAAAGGGCGAACAGAATAATTAACAGCCTTCACAGATGGCGTTTGCGGTAAACTTGACACTGCATTTTAGGAAAACATGTTTATAAAAAATAAATAGTACACCAACAATGCGAATGTCAAAAGGAGAAATGGACCGATAACAACAATGATAATAACGAATAGTACAATTTATAACATAGAACATTGACTTACAGAACTGCACCAGTATATCGACTGTTTGTGAAATATCGTTATTCATTATGAGTATTATCGTTATGTCAAATAATGTTTATGAAATAATGTTCCTCTAATGGATATAATGATATGATAATCCACAACTATAATTACAATCCAGATAGTAATCCGAATCAAGACAAAGTGTGTTAAATTTTTGAAATTAGATTGTACCGTCGAAAATTGTTTCGTGTTCGCATGTTGGGGTCATCATTTCTGTAGT